GCCCCCTCTCTCTTAGCCCCTGATTTAAACAAATACCTCTAGCCCCCAAAGCACTGTGGAGGTATTATCCTGGAAGATTTAAATCCAGGTCAACAGAGATATCCCAATAATGCAGAGATATCCCAATAATGTAAGTTTCCAGCTACTGATGCAGTATTGAGCAGCATCATCCTCCTCACCCTCAGAGACTTTTACATGCACTCATACGTGATTCCCAGTTATCTTCAGACAGTTTCACCCTGTGCTTTTTGAGAGCTGGATCTGCCCAGCAGAAGATTCTCACCAAAACAGCTCTCTCTAGGCAGAGCACTCCCTAAGCAGAAAACAAGATTAAAGAAGAACAGCAGTGGCAGCAACAGGAAGACAGCTTTATGAAAGTGAAAGAAGAGAAAATAGAGGGTACCTAAGCTGACAGGAACCAAGGAAAGATTTCTGCCTTGGTTCCTCTTTAATGCTGGCTGGTAAGCTGCTGGCTCTAAGTCACCAGGATGGTCTTCTCGCTGAGACTAACGACCTCCTTGCAATCCAGATGCTTGGTAGACAAGGGGGTTATCACAACTACAGCTTTTAGAAAAGCACAGGCCAAATTTATGGGGTGTAAGTTATGCCAGTTTGCTGATGGGTTTTTTTTAACATTTGTTATTGACTTTTTTCTGCTTTCAATGAAATCTAGGGCAAAATTGTCATAATCTGCAATAAAACTGTTAGGTCAAAGCAAATGCCTCTGAAAATAAAGATTCATGTCCTAATATATTTAATAGCATTTGTTTTGACTGGTGTTTACCGTTTCAGAAGTCACATCTATCAGTACTGTGAAGTGAGAAGACAACTCCCTGCTTTTACTCTGTATCATCTTTCCAGTTCTCAAACTTGGGCCTGTATATATTAATTTTATCAACACAAACGATCTTTTTTACTTCAGTGTACCACATTCAGTGGAGCCTAATTTTAGAGTGAGAAAATCCTTCTGCCCAGAGTAAGGCAAAGCCATAGGTCCTCCTTTGAACCCTGAGTAAAGCCACACGTGTGGAAGGCACAGAGTCACCAGAGCCAGGGGCAGCTCCTGCCGAGGGAAGGATGCTCTCTGCTGCCCAGGGCCAGCCTGCATCCGGCAATTCACTGCCACTGCGACTTCAGAAGGCAACGACCAAAACAGATTTTGCTGTAATGTAAATCTTGACTTTCAGCATGGAAGTTATCAGCTCATAGTGCTGTAAAAGCCAGCCAGATATGCTCTGTAACACCCTACTACTTATTCCAGCAGTGGGTGAGGAAATCACCACGGCTGTCTAGCTTTCATTATTATGCACAGCACCATCATTTGTCTGCTCACACAATGATTTCTAGAATGAAGACAACACTTAGGAAAAACAAATATTTAAAACAGATAACATTAGAAAGGTAGACACTCATAGATAAAAACTGAAACAGAAATAGTCTTTCCTTCTAGCCTAGTGACTTCAAGAAAAACAATCAGGAAGTCAGCCCCTTCCCCTCTGCTTCATGCAAGTTCTGGGTGTAAAACTAAATATAGCCAGGGAATGAAGGACCAGAAAACCATTTTTCCAGCAACACCGAGATACAAAGTGGAAGCTAAGCACAGCATCCTGCAAAGGAAGGCACAACACTCTGTCTCTTTAGGGCCAGGATATGCCATTTGAACCTAGAAGTATTCACTCTTAATACTTTAGCTTTTAAAAATATGACGCGCTGATCAACCACACAAGATACCTGGAGTCTGGCAAAAAAAGCTAAGCAAACTGGTCTTATTTAAAAAAAAATTATCCCCACAGCTGTTGATTTGGTTTCTCAGTGAATTTTTTCAGCCATCTTTGAATGCAGAAGTAAAACTATCATTAAATGTGATGCCGTTCTCAGAAATTACCCCAAGTCTACTTCGGGCCAACAAAAAGACACCTCAGTACCAAATTTTAAACAGGCTCCTGATCTGAAGCACAAGAAACAGCATCTCACTCAAGCAATACAGATTGATTACAGTTATTAACTCCGAAAGGTAACATCATCCTGTGTCTAAATTTTATGCCAAAGTGCCTGGTTTCCATTTACCAGCTAAGTAAAGCTGGATGAGAAACTTAACACCTTGGGCCTGTATGTCCCAGTCTGCAAAATATAATATGTCCTTTGGAAGACTTGGGAAAACTATTTGTGGCTTTGCATACAGAGCGCATGGCTGAGACTCGTGGTATAAGCTCAATTCCCTGCTGCATCCTCAACTCCATGGATAACTTATAGCTTCCATGTCAGCTTCCTAGTCTGTAAAATGGTGCAACCTGCAGCTGTTTTTAAATCTGCTTCAGGAGTTGGATATCAAATCTTTGGTAAAACCTGGTATTAGAATAGCAAAAGGGGTTTTTTTTTAGGTCTGAGAATATCTAACCTGATGAACACAAATTTTCTGATCAGTAAAGACTACTTCTGTTTTAAAAAATCTAAGGAACAGAACATGTTAAAACTTGTAAAATGAGAAAGCATTTCTGTTACTGCGGGAGAGAAGGATGGAAAGGCAAATAGTGAACCTCTATACACATGGTAGATGCAGGTTAACTCAGGAGCAAAGCAGCAGGATGCCGAAGTGTTTTAAATTTGTACAACTGCTCATCTGCCGTCAAGCTCCAGGGTGTGTTTAATGACATATTTATTCCATATTCCTAGATGGAAGAAGCCAGCCCAGCAATCAGAGGCATAGCAACTTGATGTGTCATATGGTGAGGTCCTACAAGCTGCTCTGGAATGGCACTGACAGTCCAGTGTGGCAGCAGGCACTGAAGTGATGGAATTCATCTGTTGGACCCAGTGGTCTCCTGCTGCCACTCACACTGAACAAGCACCAAACTTGCCTAGCTACTAAAGGTTGTCATGGAAGTTAAAAGCCATTTTTTCCCAGTGTTAAGAAGAAGCTTCACCAGTTTTCATGTATTTTCTCTAACATTTCCCTTCTGTTATGCTTGACATTTACTTCCTAAAGGACTTTAGCTTCAGATGGAAGTAAGCATCACTCTCCCTTTCTCCCAGAGAAAGGAAGAAATCAACAGATATGGGAGTTATAACTCTGCAGAACATGGTAAGTTTCCAAAAGGAAAAAAAACCCAACCTAAATAGAATTCCTCAGTGGAAATTTTTATTTATGCATTGAAGGTTTATTTCTGAAATATATTGAACTGGATTGCTTATTTACTGCCCAAAGATAACATGCAATGCTAGCATCAGTAGTTTTGTATTCCTTTATATTGCTCTAGAGAGGGATACAAATGGATACAAATCCCTAAAAGACTACAGAGTACTTCTCTGGATGAAAGGCTATTCAGATGCAGAGCATCTTCGCAATTTCTGGAAAACTGGGCAAGCGATACAGTTATTCCTGTCATCACACGCAGAACACAGCAGCCTCACAAAATGTCTTTTTTAGACATAGTTCAGTGTATGATTTGACAGGCTAAAGGACAAGAAAACTGACTTGTTGATGACTGCATAAAAACACACACAAACTGCCTGAAAAACAAGAACGGAGAACCCCATGTAACAGAGGTTTTCCAAAGAACTCTTCTGAAGGAAACAAGTTAGCAATCGGTGGTACCTACGGCATGTCGCAGTAACTAAAGGTGATATTTCAAACCTTATTTGAAAAATTTCATATTTCTGTTTAGCTGCAAGATAGAAATACAGCTTTCCCCTAAAACAAAATCTTGTACTACTCAGCTGAAATTCAGATATAGGAAGTGAGAGCTCCAGGCTTTCTGCAAGCAGAAATAGATCCTTGCAAAAGCAATTTTGCTACTTTGTGCTACATGTGTGCACTGGGGCTCCACTGCACAAAGTATAAGCAGATTCAGAGAGAGACACAGACTAAATTTTGTGCATTTCAAACTAACCACACACTGGGATCTCCAGCGAATTTCACGCTCACCCGTCAGTGAGTGATCAACAATGAGATTCACTGTTAGGGTTATTAATGGCCAAATGCCGGTAGCAGCGCCGTTATTCCTCAGCAGAAGAAAAAATACCGCAATTTTCGCCAGACAAACAAGCCAAGTCATCCACGTTTGTTTTCATGTATTCGAGCTTACAACTCGCCACTTTAGTCAGATATTTGAGAGCAGCATCATTTCCTGCTGCTTGGAAATCAGCTTTAAGGGGCGTGTTCTCTGCAGAGGCACTGCTCGCTGTCATCCAGGCAGCATTTAAAATAACTGTATATTGACATAAGGAGCCACCGGCCGTATTATCGCCCTTCGAGTCGGCGGCAAGGAGCACATCAAACCAGTTGCGTTCCGGGCTGCGCCGCGACCCTTATCAAACAATGCAAACAATTTTAATGAGCTTATCTGCCGGAACATATTGTCAGAGATGTTAATGCAGAAGCGCTGCCAGCAACGCATGCCAAACGATTCATCAAAAATGCCTACAACTGCGACAAAAGACGGGTGTCCCCCCCAAACGAGAGGCGATAAATAAACACAAAATGGGGCTGGCGGGGAGCGGGGGGCGGGGATGGAGCCGCCCTCCCCCGCGCAGGCAGCGGCAGCGCTGTCACCCCCGCCCGAGCAGCGGGGGGCGGCTGTCACCCCCGCACCGGCGTGGGGGCCGGGCGCTGCCCCGTGCCCGGTGCGGCTCTCCCGGGCGGGCAGGGGCTGCCCGCGCCCCGCCATCCGCGGCCGCCGCCTCCCGCACGGCGCCGCCTCCCTCCGAGATCCGCAGCGAGGTGCTGCGGCTCTTTTCCAAGGGGAGCTGGCTGCCTGCGCGGGGGGCGTTCTCGCCTTCCCTTTTATTTTCCCCCTCCTCTTTCTTTTTTTTTTTTCCTCATTTTTTTTTTCTAATTATCATTTTTAAGCGCCTTTCTTCCGCCCGGGCGCGGCGAGCCCCCGCACGCATCCCGCCTCTCTCCCGAGCGTTCCGCAGCCGGACAATGCGGGGCCGGGGGAGAGGAGGGGGCTGCAGCCCGCCCGCCTTATGCAACACCCGCCGCAGCCCCCCCGCCGTACCTGTAGGAGCGCTCCCCCCGCACCGTGTGCTTCCTGAAGGGGATGATGGTCCCGTTATCCTGGATGATGTCGTTGTTGTTCTCGCCATTTGGGGACAGGGCTTGAGTCGGTCCGGGCATTGGCGCTCCCGCCGCTCCGCAGAGCCCCGCGCTGCTGCCGCTGCTGCTGCTGCTGGTGTGCGGAAGGTGGCGGCAGCCGCGACTCCGCCGCCGCCCGCCCCGCCCCGCCGCGCGTCAGCCCCGCCGCCGCCGCCACACGTGACCGCCCCTCGCCATGGCAACGGGCCGGCGCCGCGCTGCGCCCGGGGACGGCAGCGGGCAGGCCGGGCGGGCACGGCGGGGAAGGCAGGGAAGGCAGGGAGAGGGGCCCGCCCCGCCCCGCGCCCCCACACAAAGAGCCGCTCGCCCCGGCAGTGCGGGGCGGCCCGAGCTGTTCGGCGGCCCCGGCACACACAAAGCGCCCGGGCACCCCCGCACGGCCCGGCGGTGCCGCCGCCCCCCGCACCCGTGGGCGGCCCAGAAACGCCGCCTGGCCCCTGGGGACCGCGCCGTGCCCTGCCCAGCGCCGCCCTGACAGCCGTGTGCGCGCCCCAGACCTCGACGGCCGCTGCCTCACCGTCACCCGCCGCGCCCCGGTACCTCAGCATCGTCCGCCTCCCGCCCACAGCAAGGAGCTATCGCTCTGCTTTGGAAGGAGCCCCACGCCCGGCCTCTCGGTCACACAGGGCGAGCCGCTGCAGGGAACGCCGCCCAGCTCTGCCCAGCTCTGCCATCTCCCCTCGGCGCGGGTGTGCCGGGGGCGATGGCCATCCCCGCCGCACAAAGCCCGCCCGCACGGGCTGCTGCTCGCAAGAATCATAGCGTGGCCTTCGTGTTTCACGTGGTCAACGCTTTATTTTTAAAAATAAGGGCATAAATATTAAGTGACATGAAACAGCTAATAATGAAACAGCACACGAAGGTCCTAGTTATTTTATGCTCTTTTTTCCCGATTCCTGTGTCTGCTACTCTGCCTGCATTTCCAACCCAAGCACCAGGATGTTCAAAGCTCTGGATACCAAGCTCTATGTCTCTGCTTACAACTTCACTAGAGAGCACAGTATAACATCTGTCAAGCTGCATTGCACATTTCCAGCGTTCTCCTGCTCTCAGGCTTACACAGAAAAAAAACCCATTTGATGGCACATCCTTCAAAATCTTCCTTGGATCAGAAACAAGAAGAGATCTGCCAAGGCAGTGGCACTGAACTTCTGGCATTGCTAGCACCACCAATCACAAAACCCTCATCTCTTCCTCCCCTTCTTCTAGAACAGTTTTTGCATCCTCCCCAGCCCATTTTCCTCTGCAATGCTTTATTATTTCTGCATATCTCCCCTTGCCTAAATAGCAATGTGCTTCAAAGCTTGACATTGACACAGATCAGTGCTGGTCATCCTCAGGAGCAGACCTGAACTTCACTGTGGCCAAAACCCACCCTCATGTCCCAACAGTGCATCAAAACCCGCACTTCTACCACTGTAGAAGAATACTGTCCAGCTGTTTACAAATTGTTTTCTCTAAGCAGAAACCAACAAGGGTGGCTATAGGCACAGATTTTTGTGACCTCTCGTGGCTGTTAGATGCAAAATATTTGGGCTGATCTATTAACATCTTAAAAAATACATGCCCCCAAATGCAAGTCTCTTTTTAAAAGAATCTTAAGATGGTAGGTCGAGCAGAAGCCATGTGAGTACTTCTAATATCTTCTCAGAGACACATGCTGATATTTTAACTCATGAAGTGTGAGTTTGATCAGGTTTCTGCCTCAGATTTTTTTCTGCACAAAGTGACTTAATGAAATTTTAACTTATCTTTACCTAATCTTTCAGTAGTATCATTTCATTCTGAAATCTTAGTTTACATGATTATATTCATAATATAGACCCTTCACCGAGAGCTTGTAAGGTGAATAAAATCAATAACACCAACTGCACAACACTTGGACTGCTGAGAACTCCCTGTATTTAAATCAGATGTATAGATTAACACATTTTAGAGCAGTCTCTAACAAGGCTCAAGTTAGTCTGCCAATTTGCCACTGTCTTCTGCACATCAAGACAGGGAATCTTCTTATACTTTCTGCCAGCTTTTCAAATATACTCATATTTATCTTTCAGTAACCAATCTATGGACATTTGCAATTGGCACACTTCATTGAAACACACTTCATTCATCTGGTAATTGGAGGAAGCTGCTTTTGAGTCTTTTTCAAAACAAGCAACAAAAACATTCTGTTAAAAATGCCATTAAGTGTCTTAGTAACACTCAAGAACATGGACAAGCCAGAAATGTTATGTGGTGACAGAATATAAAAATAATCTACAGCAGGTCTTTATCTGCCAGACATAACCCTACCTGCTCTGCTAGGGAGCAAGCAGTAAAACACTCTGCAACCCTAACTTGTAAAAACATTTTTATTTCTTCACCAGTGGCAAAGAACAGAAGCTTCTTTATTGAAATCCCTAAAGCTGTTTCAAACATGTACCAACAGAGCTACAGAAGAGAAGTGCAGGTGAGGAGAGCATGGCAGCCCTGCTGCAGACCTCTTCTTGCCTCTGCATTAGGACCCAAGGTCAGAAGAACACATACTGCCTCAGCACAGTACCTTACCTTTATGGAGGCTGAGCCAGGCATCAGCAAAAGAAGCCTGGTACTGCTTTTCAGAAAGCACAAGTTTCAGTGGGCTTCAGTCCATCTAGCACAGCCTGGGGGCTCTGGCTGCAATATGGGTGCAATATGCACTACATTCCTTCTACCTACATCTCTGTTTCTGAGCACTATGTGGCCCACAAGCACAACTCCTGTCTTTATGTGCTGGAAGCACCAGATCTTCCTCCTACTCCCATCATTCTAAGCTTAAAGGTCTCAAAGAAAGAGGAAACCTTTTGCTGTTATTACGTGTCTGTACATCTGTGCTGCCTTTGTAGATTTTCACATGCACTAGGCACAAAAATAGAGAATTGATCCAAAGAGTAGAAGGTCAGCCTTGATGTTAATAAAAAGCCCCACCTGTGGAATGCTGAAAGTACTGAAATCTGGTACTCACAAGTGATATGCTGACCAAGCAAAGCTAAGAGCCAGGAAAGCAATTAATGCCGAAGGGTGGAATTACAAAACCTGATGTAATAGATCTTCAGCACTGAGACCACAGAGGCAATGGCTGAAAGGGACACCTGTGGAGGTCATCCAGTCCAGTTTCCCACTTTGAGCATTATCATCACCAATATGAGATCAGGGCACATTTGGTGACATGATCATAATCAGTCCAAATCTTGAAAATCTCCAAGGATGGAGATGTCACGTCCTCTCAAGACCACCTACTCCTGTGCCATTCTAGCCACACAGCAAGTCCCAGGTGTACTGCTGATGCCAAAAGCTCCACTCTACTGCATCACATGCATTCCAGGACTTCGATATCTGCTGTGGTGAACCAGGCAGAGAGAACATTAGCTAAGTACTGGATACTAAGTATCCAGTAACACCACTAAGTACTGGAATAGGCCTAAACATCATTCTCCAAAATCTGGTTCCTCCTTCCCCTTCAGAGCTTTTGTTTTCAGTTCCTCTCTCTTTACTTGCTCTAAGCCTCACTTACTGCAGTAGGAAGGCCATGAAGCCTAATTTATAATGCCTGAGAGTAAAATCCTCTAAAAGCCCAAAATGCAGCATTAGAAAGACCTCAGGCATACTCGAGCCAGAATTTTACATTTGGCAGTTAATGTGGAAGTAAATTATAACTATTTTAATGCTGATACGCAATCAATGCACAGCCTCTGACAGCAGAGGTGATGGCCAGGCTAGTGACTTCTGCTGATACATTTTTGAAGAGATAAAAAAGCCCCACACACACAGTTTTAGGGAGTATTTCATGACATAGCCAAACTATAAATACAATTAATGATTGCAGAAATTCCCCACCGCTTGGATAACTTTGGGGAGGTGGGAGGAATAGGGAGTGAGACTAAGAAAAACACATTTAACCCTAGAGTGGCCAGCAAGCATCCCTCATCTCTGACATCTCTGTTCAAGCTCATAAAGGAGTCAGTGTGATATTGCTTGCAGTCTTCTCAGAATAGAGCCCAGCTACAAACTGCAGCAAACATCATGCCAGTGTAAGTATTTTGTACATCACTTCTCTGGGGAGTTTCACGAACATTCCTGTCACAAGTGCATTTTTTTCACTGGGGAAAGAAAATCTGAGACTAGATTTCAGAAACCAGTGGGAAGGTAGAAATAACTTTTGGAAAACAGCAGTCCTGAGCAATGTAGTCTGCTTTTCTAATTTAACTATCTTCATAGTCTTCCTTTATCACAACAAAGATTAACAGAATTCTGTAAAGCCACAGATTTACACACTGTAGATTAAAATCAGTTCTAGCACTGTATTTATAAGAAATCCATGCAGAAACAGTCTCTTTCTCCTGAAGGAGTTGGCCAACAGTGTTTAAATTTGAAGATAAGTGAATAAATCAACTCAGGAAGAAAGTTTGGAAAGAGCTAAAAGAAATTACTCTGTGAGTCTTGGACACACCTTGGTTGTTCAGGAAAGTCCCAATTCATTAAGGTACAGTGACATGCTTTATTCCCAGCATGAGGAGGGTCAGCAAGATGGGTATAACCATGAGCATACTTAATTAGGCTGCATCAGAATCAGCCTAATTTCTAAAGTTGCATTTAGCAGATTAGGAACGGAAGATTTAGGAGATCCAGATCTGCATGTTGTCTGTGAGAAGTACAAGTGAGGTGTCTGCAGCTGAATGTCTATTAGAGAGCACTGGCTTGTGCCAGCCTAAACTAGAGCACAGCTCTAACCTGTGACAATAACCCATCACACAGAGACATCTGTAAAGGGGTCAGCAATAGCAGGGTTCCTAACCCAGCAAACATATATCAGATGTGATGAAGTGCATGGTAAGTTTCAAGCTGACCTGGGTTAGGCAGAATTGGTGTTTCCTATTTTCCTGACATACTCTCAACAGCACTGATCAACCCAAAGGAAAACAGAATGTCATAAAATCACTTCAGGTAAAATTTCAAAGCTGTAACTTTATAGACTCTCTTTGTTTATGCAGCCCTGAATAAATTGTCCCACCACCATCCCACCAGCTCATTCTATACCTTGTATTTCTGGGCATTTAAGCTCACTATGACAAACAGAAAATGATAATTTTG